TAAACTAAACTAGTTTAAACTAAAATTTTAAACTAGTTATTTAAAATTTAATATTTTGGTTGGTTTGGTTTTAACTACATATATCAAAGTTTAATCAAACCAAACCAAACCAAACCAAACTTCCCCATCCCTAGAAATGTTAAATGTATATCATCAGGAAAATTATTGAAAACATCTAGATTAAAGTACAAGTCCTTGTTTTCCTTAAATAAAATGGACCATTCAGACTCAAACTTCTCGTCCTTCATTGGTAGTCGGTTGTTTAATTTTTTGGCTGACTTTTCTAAGTTTTCTTTTAACTTGTTTTGTGCAATCGAAATAATTTCATCAATTTTTTCTTTGTTTTTCAATATGAGAAGTTGTTCTATTTCTCTGCAAAAATTTTCAAGGTTGTCTTGATGTTGCTGTACAAACTTTTTGGCAAATCCTTAGCTATGTTATTAAAATTGCTCCACAAGGGTTTAGTCAGCTCTTTAAGGGAATTTGTAAGGTTCGATTTTGATAGTGGCAATGCTATGTTAGGTACGGATTCATTAACTTGATTCTGAATTTTTGTACTTCTATAATTATATTTGCGATTTTTACTTTGGTCGCATTTGCTATTTGATGGACTGATTTTCTATAAGTTTCGTAAGTCTCATTTGCTACTTTATCAGAAAAATTCTCAAATTCTAACTTTCTTCTAAAATTTTTGAGCTCTTCGTATAAATATGCACTAATGCCTTTATCATCACATCCCTCTACTTCATATTGAGGATTCATATTATTCACAAGTGCGCGAAAATCATTATATGCATCTTCAGCCATTATCTTAGCATGAGTAATTTCATTTTTTACCATAAGAACTTGTTCTGTTTCTTTGCAAAAATTTTCAAGAATATCTCGATGCTGCTGTCCAAGATCTTTTGGAAAATCTTTGACAATATTATTAAAATTGCTCCACAGTGGTTGGGTTAGCTCTTTAAAAGACTTCGTAAGATCTAATTTTGGAAGTGGCAATGTTATTTTAGATACAGATTTATTAACTTGATCCTTAAATGTTTGTACTTCTATAGTTATATTTGCAATTTTCATTCTGATCTCATTCACCATCAAGTGGACTGATTTGCTATAAGCTTTATGGGTTTCATTTACTATTTTATCAGAAAAATTCTCTGATTCTAATTTTCTTTTGAAATTTTTGAGTTCTTCGTATAAATATGCATTAATGCCTTTATCATCACATCCCTCTACTTCATATTGAGGACTCATATTATTAACAAGTGTGCGGAATTCATTATATGCATTTTTGGCCAATATCTTAGCGTGAGTAATTTCATTTTTTAGCATAAGATGTTGTTCCGTTTCTCTGCAAGAATTTTCAAGAATGTCTCGATGTTGCTGTACAAGTTTTTTTGGAAAATCTTTGACAATATTATTAAAATTGCTCCACAGTGGTTGGGTTATCTCATTAAAGGACTTTGTAAGAATTGATTTTGAAAGTGGCAACACTATGTTAGATACAGATTTATTAACTTGATCCTTAAATGTTTGTACTTCTATAGTTATATTTGCAATTTTTAATTTAATCCCATCCACTATTAAGCGGACCGATTCACTATAAGTTTCGTAAGTCTCTTTTGCTATTTTATCAGAAAAATTCTCAAATTCCAAATTTTTTTCAAAGTTTTCTAGTTCTTCATATAAATATGCATCAATGCCAACATTATCGCATCCCCCTACTTTATATTGAGGATTCATATCACTAACAAATGTGCGAAAATCTTTCTGTGCATCTTCAGTTATCTTCTTAGCATGAGCGATTTCATTTTGCACTATAAGTTTCTGCTTTATTTCTCCACAAAAATTTTTAAGGTTTTCTCGATGTTACTGTGCAAACCTTTTTGGCGAATCCTTAACCTTATTATTAAAATTGCACCATAATGGTTTAGTCAGTTCTTTAAGAGATTTTGTAAGAATTGATTTTGAAAGTGGCAACGTTATGTTAGATACAGATGTATTAACTTGATCTTGAAATTCTTGTTCTTCCATAGCTATACTTGCTATTTGTATTTTGAACTCATTTGTTATTGATCGGACTGATTCACTATAAGTTTCACAGGTCTCTTTTACTATTTTATTAGAAAGACCTTCTGATTCCAATTTTTTTTTAAAATATTCTAGTTCTTTGCATAAATATGCGTCAATGCCTTCATCATTGCATCCCTCTACTTTATATCGAACATTCATAGTATTAATATCATAACGATAAACAAGTGTGTGAAAATAATCTTTTGCATTTTTGGCCAACGTCTTAGCACGAGTGATTTGCATCCTCTCAAAGATTGAAGTGATCGTATATGTTTCTGAGTTATTAAGTGCATTGCATAAAACTTCAGTAAACTCAGCGATGTCCCGGCCAGTACATGGTTTTCCTATATAACATTTTAAATTAGAAAAAATTATATGAATGAGAATTTAATAAAAATCACATACCGGTGCTATGCTTTGATTCATTAACACTCAATTGTTCAGAAACTTTTTCGCGCATCTCTTTAAATGTTTGCTTCCAGTTTTCATTGAAATCTTCAAAAAGCAATTTTTCTCGGCTTTGACTTAAGTCACTTAAAGGAAAGAGCCATATCTAGAAGTTAAAAACGAAGATACATTGATACATTGTGTCTTAAATAATTTTAATTTGCGAATTAATTATAAAAGAATGGTTTTCTTACACCAATACTTTCAAAGGAGTCATTCAACAGTTTACGAATAGTATTGTGTTCTTTGTATTTATCTCTACGACCCTTCTGAGGCTCTAGCAGTAACTTTTTAATATCATCTGGTGTATTATTATTATTATTATTCCAGGAGCGAAAAATAATATGGAGATGGCCATATGGTTTTGCATTTTGATTCTATGTAATATAATAGTACAAGCTTTAGTGGCATCTTATCACGTTGAAAGAATGAAGTCTTATAACCTACTTGACTTTGAGCATCTTGTGTGATTCGTTGTGCTGATTTCGTCATTGCACCCAAATTATTAAGTATTTTATCTACTAGAAACATTTCAGGCCACCAGAAAATAACAATTTTTGAAGTAACAAGGATAGGAGAGAAAAGATAGAGATCAAACTCATCGCCTTTATCTAAGAAATATTTAAGAAGTTTCGTTATGTCCTTAAATGTAATGTCGAATTGAGTCATAATGAACTTACTGCCTTGTCCTTCTGTGTCGACAAATCCAACTAAGACATCACTGTCAATCTCTGGGTTATTATTTAACTTTGAGAATTCTTTAAGCGGTAGGAATACCTCGAAAATGTCAACTCCCGTTGTAACTGTTTCTGTAGCAGAAGAAGACGTGAAAATTTCACGTTCACAATTATCCACACCCGCCAAAATGTTCATTAACGTTGATTTTCCCGTCCTTGTAATAAGATATAATTATTAGAAGTTACACTAAAATTTTAAATTGACAATTTAGTTACCTTGCCGGGCCAAAAATTGAAACAAGATTTACGATTTTATCATCCTTAGTGCAAAGTAAGTTGGTAGCATCCTCTTCAACATTGATACGAATTCTGGATACGTTAGTATCATTGTCTTGACTTTCTTCGTCTTCATCACTTATCACTAACCATTTTATAGAACTCATTTCCTAAAATATTGGAAACACTTTTTTTCAATATTTAATACTTATATTGATCACTTATTTCCTGGAGCGTAGTAGAGAAGCTTACTATTTGCATAAAAATAGAGGTATATATCTACAACGGAGTTTTACCACCGTAAATTAGAATACTAGCGCGTGCATATACAGCACCCTTTTGATTTTAACCGATTGTTAATTATTCCATAATCAGATCATGCATTGCCAAAAAGGCTGATCCCTAGTTGCAAGTATTTTTTACTGACACGTACGTACGTACGTACTGTACACGAACTAGAAGCTTATATTAATATGCATGTACGTATTACAATGACGACTTTATCTCTCATATCAATATGCAGTTTTTTTTTTTAGTTACTCTCAATGTGATAATTATCAATGGAATATCTCAGTACATTTTTTTTTAAATCCACCACTTAATGTAACATATTTCATTTATTAGTTTGCATTACACTTTTGACGGCCAATTTCGCATATAACCCGGTATATACATCAAAGTATTTATACGGTTGCATAAGTGCATTTATAGATGACTACTTTCTTTATATACATCAAAAGAATTGAAAGAAAACGAATAATTCCAAATATCAAGAGTTATTTAATTAAAAATTTTGCTCATGTTTTCTTTTTAGCTACAAACATGATTCGAAATTGTAAAATTCAAATTATCCGAAGCCTTATCGTTATTGTTTTTAAGTTATCACAAATTACAAAAATGGTAAACAGTATCTGGTTATCTGGTTATCTGAATACCTGTTAAATTTTAAATAAAATAACGAATAACGGATTGCACCTTTATTCCATATTCATTTATCATGAATATCATTCAAGATTTTTTGATTGTTTTCTATTTGATATATTCCGATTTATTTCGATTTATACATATAGCTTAGACCTGCAGGTGGGCTTAAAAAACCTGATTTGACCCAAGTGACTGAATACCCCATATTACTTGAATAGTTTAAATTTATAATTATTGTACGATTGAAAGTCCGATTTAATTTCATACAGAACAATATGAAAAAATTGGGCATTCATAAGAAATTGGGATCTCTTGCAGTATAGGTGACCCACTTATAATCAATCAATTGATTAATAATACAATTGATTAAAGAGGTCACCTATGATCTAAGAGATCCAGAAATTGTACAATAATCTGTTGTATATAACATAAAGAAACATTCATCCTGAAAGACTTGTTGAGTAATATTTCTTTAACCTTCAAATATGAAATATAGTTTTGCGACAACTCAATCGAATAAGAATGCTTATTATAAATTAAAAATGGTCGTTTATTAGCCTTGGCAATTAAATTATACAATCGTATCTTGATATTCTTCTCACACCTTCAATGTACATGGTCAGCTTTTGTCGATAAACCCAAATTAGAATGAATCAGATCATATGAAGTGTATATTTGAATTGTGCCCAAATTTATACGTATGGACGTAAAAGGAAAGATCGACCTTGATCAAATTCCAATTTCAG